CGGGAGCCCGGAGCCCGCGTGGGGCGAGGAGCGCGGCGACCCCGAGGCTGTCCCCGGGCTGGACTCTGAGGCCCCCGCGCAGCCCGCAGCCGCCCGGGACGCCGGCACCGAGGGCGCGGCCCGGACTGACCCCCGGGACGAGAAGCTCGCGCTGTACCTGGCGGAGGTGGAGCGGCAGGACAAGTACCTGCGGCAGCGGGGCAAGTACCGCTTTCACATTATCCCCGACGGCAACTGCCTGTACCGCGCCGTAAGCAAGGCCGTGTATGGCGACCAGAGCCTGCACCGCGAGCTGCGGGAGCGCACGGTGCACCACATCGCCGACCACCTGGACCACTTCAGCCCGCTCATCGAGGGCGACGTAGGCGAGTTTATCATCGCGGCGGCCCAGGACGGCGCGTGGGCCGGGTATCCGGAGTTGCTGGCCATGGGGCAGATGCTGAATGTGAATATCCACTTAACTACCGGAGGGCGGCTGGAGAGCCCCACCGTGGCCACCATGGTTCACTACCTGGGCCCCGAGGATTCGCGGAGGCCCAGTATTTGGCTCAGTTGGCTCAGCAATGGACACTATGATGCGCTGTTTGACCACTCGTACCCCAACCCGGAGTATGACAGCTGGTGCAAGCAGACGCAGGTGCAGAGGAAGCGGGATGAGGAGCTCGCCAAATCAATGGCCATCTCCCTATCCAAAATGTACATAGAACAGAATGCATGCTCCTGAGATGCTTGCAAGCCCGGGAAGTGGCCAGAGTCGCGTCGGGGTGGGGGGAGGATTCCAGAACTCTAATCAGGGTAATTGCGCTTTGAAAGTTGTGGCATACTTACTCCAGGTGGGATGCCTTAATCAGATTCTGAATGTTCTCAAAGCCGGGCACCTGGTGAAGTTTCCTGACAGCTTTGGGTGAGCCTACTGCTACGTGTCATTTGCTGTATAAAGTGAGCACTACTTAATTTGCAAGCTGATGTCTCACGGTATGAATTTGTTCATTCCCGGTAGTCTATTTTCTATCAGAATGTATTTTTGCACATTTTTAAAACTTGGTGTACTTTGAGCTATGATGTGTTCCATTTTAAGAAACGGCTTTTAAGCATAAATCCTGAGATGTACTTTATATGAAATTTATGTTGAACAGTTTGTGATTCAGTAGTTATTTTGTCGAAATACGTTTAACAGTTACTATTCCGATCGGATGTTGACACATTCATGTTTCCAGATGATTGGCCCATTCCATTTTAATGCCACCAGCGGATTTGTTGTTCGGGGAAATGTGATTTTTCTAGAAATGGTCAGTCTTCGGAGAGAAATATTCAGGGAGGGAGAACTGTGGAGTGATTTTTGTGTTTTTTTAAGGACAGTACCACATCTCTTGACTACAAGAATGCTGTTTGCTGATGGCAGGATGACGACTTTGCTCTGGCTGAGGCTGAGCAGAGTGTCCGGTGCTCTTGTTCTAGTTTGTCTATCTCTTATGAAGAAATTTAACATGGTGAGAAATCTTGTGACAAGTCCAACCTCCTGCCTTGTACAGCTTGGATTCAACTCAGACTTAAAAAGCAACAGCGTAAATTCCTGGACCCAACACTTTGATAGTTATTTTCTAGCAGGGGGTACTGTCTGAATAGTTTGTTCTTTTCAAATTCTTTCAAAAGGTAAAATAGAATTACCCTGTATTATGTAAAAATGTAAACAGCTTGTATGGTTTGCTGGGTCAAACAGTATTTCCATCCTAAAAATCTGTTGCCACTTTAACTACCTTTAGTCATATTTATTTAGTAAAGCAGTTTGTACTTTTTTATTTTGTAACATTTTGTGATTTTTTTTTGTACAAAAATGTGTTTGTACAATAGAGCAGTTCTCAGCCGATGAAATGAATGAATAAAATGTATGCTTTTACATCTTTCTGAATAGACTGATTTTTAAGTTGTGCCGTCTGGTCTGTTATAACATTTCTTAAATGTACACAGTATTTTTCATATGTGAAAATGAGGGGTTTCCCAAATTTTCACATTCCCTTTCACATAAGGGAATTAGCCCTTTCAAAGGGTAAGTCTCAATGAAACATAAAAGTGGATGACTCGAGGCTGCTCTCATTATTTCCAATTATAATTCCTATCAGACTAGCTGTACCTATTGGCTATAAACAGGGACAAGTCTAATTAAAAGTCATACTTTCAGCCGGGCGTGGTGGTCCACACCTGTAGTCCCAGCGCTTGGGAGAGGCAGGCAGGTCTCTGAGTTCAAGGCCAGCCTGGTCTACATAGTGAGTTCCTGGACAGCTGGGGCTACAGGGAGACCCTGTCTCAAAAAAACCAAAAAAAAAAAAAAAAAATTCCACTCCTTGGTATAGGTTTTACTGTGTTAGGAAGTAACTTAAGCAGTATCCTAAACGCCCCTAATCTGGTTGTCTCGAGACCTTGGGAATCTATTTTCAGAGGTGTTACCAGGTTTAGTTGAAAGGTGCTGTGTTCCCATGGGGAATGTGTCTCCTTCAGAAATCAGGCGCTGAACTTCCCATGAGATGAAAGGTCAAGAGGGCTCTGCCTTGTGGCTGAGATAAATGTTAGGAGAGGGCTGGAAGATGAAGGGCACAGAAGCCTAAAGGCCACCATCAGTAAGGAACTGACTTTCTGTAGATAGGAAACGGAGACCGTTCCTTGGACTTGGAACTGTGAGACGTTAATTTCCTTTAAAAGTCACCTGGCCTCAGGTGTTCTGATAGATAGAGCAGCACAGACTGACAACACATCTGTCTGAACTGTAATGCTGGGTATGAGGTGTATTGCAGAGTAAAAGCAGCTGCTTTGTAGTTTCTTTTCAGTGATGATGTAGAGACACGATTATGATTATAGACATCTGAGCCTGAATTTCTTCTTTAACCACATGCCTTGTAAGGATGCCATTAGCTCCCAAGGAAAGACAGCTTGTCAAAGTTTTAAATGCTAACTCTGGAGTTTTATTTACGATTTATTTATTTTGGTCTTTTTGAGACAGCCTCCATGTAGCTGAAGCTGGCCTGGAACTCTATGTAGACCAGGCTAGCCTCTATCTCACATCTGCCTGCCTCAGATTAAAGCTGTGAGCTGCCACACCTGTCCCAGAACTCTGGATTTTCAGGTAACATTTTATTCTATGACTCCACTAGTTAAATAATTTGGAAAGAAATTCAGATACTTGAATTCCACTGCTTTATTTAATGTATGAAATTTGGAGATGCTGAGAATTTACACTGGAGTGGATGACATTTCTGAAAGTGCCCATTAATCTTTTTATTGATTTAAATAAGTTTGTTGGATTCAGCTTTGTTTTCAAATTAGAATCCCTGGTCATTGATTTACACTTAGAAGAGAGGTTTTTAGATTAAAAAAAAATTTCTATCTATCTATCTATCTATCATCTATCTATCAATCATCTATCTATCTACCTATCAATCATCTATCTATTTTGTCTTTTTGAGACAGGGTCTCCCTGTAGCCCCAGCTGTCCTGGAACTCACTATGTAGACCAGGCTGGCCTTGAACTCACAAAGATCCGCCTGCCTCTGCCTCCCAAATGCTGGGATTAAAGACATGTGCCACCATACCTGGCTTATATTTTATTTTTTAACTTTAAAAAAATTTATTGAGAATTTCATACATTCATATAAGGTGTTTTGATCAAATCCATGCCCACTCCCTCCCCTCCAACTCCTCCTATATCTCCCCATCACTTTTTCCTGAACAACTTCATGTACTCTTTTTTTTTTTTTAAAAAAATGGGGATATTTTATTATTTTTATGTGTACGCATGTATTGCCTGTGTATATGTAAGTGTACCCATGTCGTACAATACCCTTGGGAGTCAGAAGAGGGCATCTGATGCCCTGGAACTGGAGTTACAGATGTTTGTTAGCCATCCTGTGGGTGCTGGGAATTGAATCCGGGTCCTCTACAAGAGCAGCCAGTGCTCTTAAGGGCTGAGCCATCTCTCTAGCCTTTGGATTGGTTCTTAAGATCAGATTACATGGAGTGTAATATTGCTGTTCAAGACAGTATTTGTATACTAGGGCAATTTTCAGCTGATCGGCTGGATGAATAAAATACTTGACATTTTTGAGAGTTCAGTGATGTCTGTAAGAACCTTTCTTATACAAACAGTATTTTTTTGTGTGTAAACATGCTGCTATGAGAAGTTTGGTTTTAGTTGTTTGCCTGAAAGTTCTGCTGAAGTCCTTCCTCTTTTCTCCTTTGATACATGGTCTCTGTATGTTATAATCCAACCAGGCCTTGAACCTCACAATGTAGACCAGGCTGACCTGGAACTCACAGAGATCTGCCTGCCTCAGCCTCTGGAGTGTTGGGACTTAAGGGGGTATGCCACCACGCCTAGCTCTTTCTGATTCTCTTTTTTTGTGTTTTTTTTTTGGAGACAGGGTCTGAAAATAAGCCCACTAATGTTTTCTGTGTTTACTAATGTAAATTAGTAAGAAAATGATTAGCTTGAGAATTTCATTAAAGTGGTACATAGATTAAAAAGTATGATACAAGTTGGGTGTGATGGCACACTGATGTAATCCTCATACTTAGAACTAAGTCTGAGGCAGGATGATGGTGAGCTTAAGGCTAGCCTCAGCTAAATGTAAGTTCCAGGCTATCCTGGGATACATAGCAAGACCCTGTTTTGGAAGAACAAAGATAACCCAGACCGCTCTGATACAAATAATTGTTTATGTGAGGTCTGTAACATGTTCCCATTTGACAGTTGCCACACACAGCCTATCCAGAATAATGTTTTTAAATTCTAGTTTTTCTATAACTGTATCAAAGAATCAGTGAGAAACCAAAATACATTTAATCTAGTTTTCTCCCCATATATAAGTAAATAGATGTGGGCTGTATTACAGTTGACTCCCTGGGTTCCACCTTAGTACCTGGCAGAGTGGGTGATCAGCAGTCATTGAATGAGGGAATAAATTGGAGGGACATAGGAGCTTTGGAAAATATTTAGTGGCCACATATGACATTAAAAATGATTTGACTCTGAAAGTACTGTGTATCATCACTGACAAAATATCTGGGTATTGTAAAGTGACATGGTCAGTTACAGAAAGACACTAAAGACTTTAGGGATCATAACCAGGACCTTAACACATGCTAAGAGCACATCCTACCAATGAGCTCCAGCTCTAGCCCTGAAGTATTAAATTCTATAATCAACAAAATTAGAATTATCTTTCAAACATCTTGAGAAATTGAACCAAGAGAAGTTATTTAAATACAGAACTTGAGTTAATCTGAACTGATTAAGGTGTTGCTTTGCTCAAGGGTCTTGACCTCGCTTGCTGTAGTCCAGACTAGCAGTTACGAGTTCCTCTGTTTCCTCTGTGTAGCTTGGTTGAGAATGAAATGTTGGACACATTTCAAGCATGCTTTCAGGAAGCTGTGTTCAGTAGCACTGACAGCACGCTTGTGCCATTGATCAGTGGGGCCAGGGCAAGTGGTATGAATCATATCAAAACAGTCTACCAGAGGAGAACCAGCTGTATTTCCTCTGCTGTAAACTGGGTCACTAACAATTGTTCTCTGAACAAAAAGGTCATAGAGATAATTCACTGTTATCAGGTGACTCTTAGTAAAACCTTTTTTAAACCTTTTTCACAATTGAGTTTTCTGAATACATGGTTGATTTATGAAATCATTTCATAAATGGTGTAAAATATAAGACAAAAACTAATTGCTTTAGATGGAATTCTTTAAGCATTACTCCAGGTGCCATTGTAAAATAACTGAAATAGACTAACCTTCCATAATGCCCTAGGGCTCTCCTGCTGGAATGGGTCCCTTTGTGTGAGGCACCAAGGCTCCGCAGAGTGGCTCCTGCTGCTTCAGGGACTTGTACCTGCAGTTTTCTTCTCTGTCTTCGCACGGTCTGATTTCTCATCGTTGTCATTTTCTGGTCCTGATTCCCCCATTTTGATGGCTTATGTGGCTGTTGGTTCCAACACACACACTCAGCAGAAACAATTCTAAAATAACAAGACATTGCTTTATAGTTTTTCTAATTTGGAACTGGGAGACTCTGCTATGACTAATGTTCTTCTTTAAAAAAAATTCTATTATTTTTATTCTATGTGTATTTGTGTATTGTCTGAGTGTAGGTAAGTGCACCCGTGTCGTGCAATGCCCTTGGAAGACAGAAGAGGCTGTCAGATCCCCTGGAACCGGAGTTACAGTTGTTAGCTGAATGTAGGTTCCAGGATTCGAACCTGGGTCTTCTTCAAGAACAGCTAGTGTTCTTAACCACTGAGCCATCTCTCCAGCCCCATGAGTAATGTTCTTAAGCTTTAGATTTGATCAACCAGAGAGCTTTTCCTCCTGTCTTTACCTTCTTTTTTGGTATCTGTTGGTGGCATCATGGATTTGTCCAATTAAGGGGACTCTAAATGTGTGCAGTGTTATATTTAAATATCAAACATACATGGGTTGGCTACACTAATCCTCAAAATGAGAGCTGATTTGTCATTGCCTAGTTAATATTTCCTTCCTCTCTAGCAGATGTAATAATTCATAGACCATTCCTGCCATTGTCTCCCTTTGGTTGATGCATTTTTTTGTGTTTAGTTTACTGGTCCACTAAACTGTGATCATTATGAAGTGACCAACTATCAGTCTTCACTGAAGACTGCATTGCAGAGTATACAGACACACCCGCACAAGACACGCCCACACTGTGCCCTTTTGAATTTACTACCTTGTTAATGGGTGTGAATTATGTCTGTAACAGAAATAAACGAGTCTTCCATATCCTATCCTTCTCTGACCATGAGAGTAAACTACTCTTTCTATTGATTGGAATGATTGAATTGGTACAGTACACACTGTGCATTAATATACTGACAGAATGTAAACAATGGCTATTTGAGA